CCACCGCTATCTCAAGGACAACGCCGCGCGAAGGCTGTTCGCCCAGCTAGTCTCCGGCGTCGGTTACTTGCACAAAAAAGGCATTGTTCACAGAGATCTCAAGTTGGAGAACCTGCTTTTGGACCGGAACCGCAACATCATCATCACCGATTTCGGCTTCGCCAACACCTTCGATGCCGAGGAAGAGCTTTCAGAGGAGGAGGAACTCAATCTCGGCGACCGGGATTTTGTCAAGAAGTTGGGACTGGATAGAGTCAAGACCAATGGCACAAGGAAAGGTGATTTGATGCAGACAAGTTGCGGCAGTCCCTGCTACGCTGCACCGGAGCTTGTTGTGAGCGACTCTCTATACACTGGCCGCAAGGTTGATGTATGGAGCTGCGGCGTGATCTTGGTAAGTGGTGATATTCCCAGCGGTTTATTCAAGAAGCTGACAAAAGCCTAGTACGCCATGTTGGCTGGTTACCTCCCCTTCGATGACGATCCAGCGAATCCCGAAGGCGACAACATCAACCTACTGTACAAATACATCGTCAACACGCCCCTAACTTTCCCCGAATACGTCACCCCCCACGCTCGCGATCTTCTCCGGCGAATCCTTGTCCCCAATCCCCGAAAACGAGCAGACTTGTTCGAGGTGGCTCGGCATAGCTGGTTGAGCGAGTACGCTCATGTCGTGGAGTTCATTACTAGTAGCACCACAACGCCCAACCAGATCCAGAACACAACGGTACCTTCCGAAGACGACGACTTTGCAGAAGCATCTGGCATCGGACGAAGCGCCTCGGTTCGCGAGTCCTCCAAGACGAAAGCCAACACCCCGACTTCGGTTGGAGGTCTCGCCAGCAAACACGCCAAGATCGACGCCGACGCCGAGGCAGCAGCTATTGCTAAGGCGCATAAAGATAACAAGCGTCGCACGGTGCAGGTCGAGTATGTGGCTCCGACGACACAGACGCAAAGAGGAGAGGCTGCTGCTGCAGCAGGAAGTAGGTCGAGAGCGCGTTCGAGCAGCCAAGGCCCCGTGGAGGTTGCGGAGAGCGTAAACTTCCAGGAGAAACCCCTCCCTAGGGATCCCCCTGTCTCGAGGGATTCGTACAGAGCGAGTCGACAAGGCACGCGCCCTCCAAGTGCCAACCGCAGCACTGCGGCTGCACCCTCAAGACCGACTCGTGATCACCGGGCGACCTCCGACAACGCGTTCGCGTCATCAGGATCAGGTGCACAGGCCACCGGAAGACCTCAAACAGGAGGCTCAATGGCATCAGGCTCAATGGGATTGGGAGCTGGAGCTCGTGGATCGTACGGCCAACCAATTCCCCCGACCGTCGCAGGTACTAATGCTCATGGAAGGATTCAACAACCTAGCAACCAGGATTCCCAGGCTATGGGACGACCCAGCGTCAGCGTGCCACCAAAGTTTGCCAAGGTCGCCGGATTCGCCCCAGACCAACAGAGCGTCCAGAGCCAGACCCCTCCTCAGTCAAGTGATGGCAGGGGACATGGACACAAGCGTTCCAACACCATCGGCTCCCTACTGGGTCGGAACGGGTCGATTTTTGGGGGTAAGAACCGTAGCAAAAGGCCCGAATCACAGATCGCGGACAAGAGCCGGAAGTATCCTCCAGTCAGTATGCCTAACAACATGCCTGCTGAAGGTCAGCCCCGGCCTTCCATAGATTCGAGGGCCTCTAGGCGATCCTTCTCATTGGGTCTCGGAAAGAAGCGTAGCGGTAGCATCGCAGGCTCCCAAACCTCCCACGAAAAGCAGAACAGGCGGTTTTCGTTGATTCCGCAGTCATTCTCGCTGAAAGCTATTGGCATCGGCAGAGACTACGATCGTCCGCCGTCTGAGCCCCAGTCTCAACCTGACCTCCCCATCCAAGATCCCCCTGAAGTCGATGAGCATGGAAGATACGTGGACTCTCGGGGTCAATCTCGAGGCTACGACGGCGGCTATGATCAGAGCTACAGACAGCCTCCAGGTTCTAGCTCTGCCCCCCAACTGCAACATCAAGATTGGCAAGATCAGCAACAAGGCTACCAGCAGCAGCAGCAGCAAGTGGGTCCGATTGGGCAACCCAGTGCAGTACCGGCCTACATGCAACAGGGCACTGGCTTGAACACAGGATCGGAGTCTTCATTCGAAAATGCACAAAACCGGAGGCATACTGGTGCCCCGTACAACGCGGGTGGATACTCTGAGTCTGATGGCTACGATGGACAACAATTTGGCTCATCCCGTGGAAATGGCCGGTCTGGCGTGCTGCAGAAGAATAAGAGATTCGAGAGCGCCGAGTACGGTGGTCACCAGGGCAGTAGCGGAGCCGCCAAGAGAGTTATGGACTTCTTCCGGAGGCGCGGCAAGGCGAGAGGTGGCGACGAGAGGTAGAACACCTTCGAAGCTCTCGACTGCTCGCCGTCCGTCGGTTCAGGATCGCTGCCTTTGTGCGGGCCCCGATCATCGCAGATGAGTCTGTCTCCGACACGCCGAGTTGAGCGATGAAGACTGTGTCTATGGAACGATGTGTAGGTCGTCTTTGGGATTTTTGAGGTTTTAATGTGTGAATACCAAGCCAGCAGGACACGTTGGTCGCTCGGCATCGTTTGTGGAAGTTGATGGGTTGTCTTGATGGCCTGCTGCATCGTTGGCGAACCGGTATAGATTGTTGAGAGGAGTCCTTTTCCTAAACCCCTCTGCGCGTAATCAGGGAAGCTTGGTGGGGTTTGTTGTGTCGATTGACGGCGGTTTATGGGATGGGTTATTCAGATACAGATGGATCGATGGTCCCCCCCCTAACCCCTCTCGGACATGGGCCTTTTTATTCTGGTTGGTTCAACTTGTCATTTCTCTTCTAATTTGATGGCATCCCGGCGGCAGTACAATCAAAACCGCTGGCGGCGGCAAAGGCGTATGGGAATACAGAAGTAGAGAGAGAGAGAGTGTGTGAGCGAGAGTGAGACAGGAACCGACGTTTGAGTTCTTAGCGTATTGTGTAGTGAGGTTGAATAGTGGCCAGCCCGACTGGCTGGTACGGATATGTAACGTCTTAGTATGGAAGCATACTGAGCTACATTAAATGATACGTAAGGTGACGGACGAATCTATGTGAGAAGCGCAGCCAATAAATCGAGTAAAGCACACTTACGACAATCATCTACCTAGATGAGGATAAGGATAAGGAGAGTGAGGTGAGGAAGAAGGGAAGCAGAGCCAAGAAGAGCCAAGAGCGCCATCCGAGAACCTCTCTTTCTCCATCGGATCTGCTGCGCTGATGACGGGATGGTCCACAAGATCTGTCTTGGCGGTGGCCAAAGGTCAAGTGGATGGTAGGAGTCTCGAAAAGCCCGGATGAATTTCCTTGCTTTGCTGGGTTTCTGGTTTCTACCATTGTCCTTTCACACGTCCGCGACAGCTACCCTCTCAACGCTCGCAACCGACCCACTTTGTGATTCAATGGGACGTGGGGACCCTCCCCACGCTCCCATCACGGCGTCACCTAGACAAGTGTGGCTGTTGGTGGCGCAGCCCGCACTGCGGAGCTACCTACAACTAGAGAGCAGCCACCACCCGCCCAGAGCACCCAAGAGATTTGACGTCACTCTCGGCACGTGTCGGCCGGCTTGGTATATATCTGGGGGTTTCCTATTGGCTTAACGAAAGGGAAACACGCACGCCTCGAACGAATCGACAGTGGGTGGGAACTTTTGAACCAACTACCTAGGTAGTCCAGTATCGAGAATACCACTACCTACCTACCTTTGGTATCTGATGTACTACCAGGCAGGGCAGGTAAGTAAGGCAAAATGTGGATTGGGCGCGGCGGCATTGGGTCAGCGAAGCTTGAATGCGTTTGAACCCCTGTTCGGCGCAACGATCACAAAAATGGAAAATGGATAGGATGGGAGAGTATGACTGCCTAGATGAGCGTTGGTGTTTTGGATGACGCGTCTTAGCGCCCGTTCGCCATTCATTGCGAAGGGGGGCTTATCATGGGGATTTTTTTTATTTTTTCTTTTGGAATTCGAACGGGGTGAAAATGCACGGTTAAAGTGCACGAGGTATGCTTTGAGCCCTCTTTTTATTTTTTTTTTGGAAACAGTAAAGCAAAGAAATAAGGAGGATTCAAAGTATCGTGTTGTTTCCAGTTGTCGAAATTAGGTTGTGACAAACGGGAAGAGAAACGGTCTAGCCAGGAGGGAGGGTGAGAATTAGGTTGGACGAGGGAAGGCAAGGCAAGGCAAGGCAAGGCAAGGGAACGGGGATGGGGGGGAGGCGCATTGGACGGAAACGAGGAGTGCCGGGAACCTCTTGGAATGCAAAAAAAAAAAAAAAAAAAAAAAAAAGGGGGGGCGGGGGATGATTAGAGGGGGAGAGAAAGGGAGGATGGAAAGGAAGGGAAGGGGGGAGGGGGGGGGGGGGAATGGAAGGAAAAAAAGGAGGGCGGGAAACAATTGGAAAAAAAAAAAAAAAAAAAAAAAAAAAAAAAAGTAAGGCAGTTGGGAACAAACAGAATATTCGTCAAATCGGCCGAGGGAGAAGAAAGCTTTGGGTTCAAGTTTGGAAGCGGTTCCCCGTGCACTCGAGCCCCGAACGCCGCCAGCTTTGCACCGGCACTCGACGGTTGGGGCACTTTGATGGAGTGGTCTTGGACTCATGACTCTTGCAAGTTGCAACGGTATTCTACGTATCCCTTGCTTGGGTCTTCCGACAGGGTCCACTGGGGCGCATCCAAGCATCTCGCACGCGATATGGTCGAGTGTACGAACTACGAGGAGATGCTCGGTTCTCGACTTTGCAAGAGAAGCGTGTAGCCGGGCGGAATGTTACTCTGCGAATCTGCTACATTGGAGCGGGGGACCGTCTCGCGTGGAGATACCAGGACCACGTGTGTCGTCGAGAGAGGTGCCAGCCACTGAGATGCGAGGGTAATCCCCGACTGATTGATAAGGCAGGAAGGCCGACAGAGTTATGGACTATCAAGAGCTATCCGTATGGATTATCCACCGCTTGAATTGTGCCACTGTGGAATTCCCGAACGGTGTGTGACTTTTCGATAGTGACACGCGGGGTCGACTACCGGCCCGGATTCCTCGTGCTTCCCTTTGATGAGGCTTCTTACACTTTTATCGACGACGGCGAGAGCGAGAAACGTAAAATGCGCGACTGCATAATCTGAAAAGCAAAAAGATGGGGTCCGGAATCGGGTTCTTGTTTCGAGACTGTCTCTACCACGGAATCCATCATCTCGAGTCGGTCTCCTTGGCGATGCTTGGCGATACTTGGCGCACGTTGCCAATTGAGTGGAGAATTTCAGAGAGCAAAGACCAAGAGCGAGAGTCCAAAAGGTCCGTCCTGGCTCGCTCTCTGAAGAAAAAGCACAGAGGACATCGAAGAGAGAAGTGTGTGAAGAAGGAGTGTGGATGAGGCTCGAGCGAGACGTTGTTTGCTTGGTCTTCCGTCCGGTTGAATGCCCCATTTCGGCCGTCGACCTTCGGCTCTCGAACGATGCTAGTTTCTAGTTCTTTGGATGGTGTGTGTCAATGTGGCGTAGGTTAATTCATCAGAAACTGCTACTGCAGGTAGTCGCGGTTGAGCTAGACTACGGAAAGCTCTTGTCCATCTCTGTGGACCTCGCCTGCATGTGGTGGTGGAAGGGGGCTAGGACGAGGGCGTGGCATGGGAGGCGGCGAGAAGACTGCGAAATTGGACGCGAATAGCTGCGAGTGCACCTCTTGTCATTCTGTGAGGCTCAGCTGGCCTGTCCGGGCGGAGCGGAGGAAGAGGGGGGTGCAGTCTGGGAGAGTCTGCTAGGCGAGGGGGAGGAAGATTGCAAGAGGAAACCCATTTCACTTTCCGTCACGTTGAATCCCCTGCCCACCCCTCCCTGCGTGAAGGTTAATGCTTATTAGTCTGTATCCACTGTGACTCGTCGGGGCCAATAGGTTCGGGGTTTGCTGATGAGGCGGAGGATGGGCGGTGGTCATTGTCCTTTGTTGAGGGCGGGAGTCTACAATTAGAGACCGACTCACCGATTGACCGAGGGAGGGACGGGACGGGGCTTGGGGGGAGGCAAAATGGCGAGGTCCGATAGGGCAGAGGCCTCCATTCCCTGCGGCGAGTTGATGAGCTGTGATATCATTGTTGCTGTGTTGGACCTGAACAGGCAGACGATGATGCTGATGATGATGATGATGATGATGATGGAATGGGATTGGGGGAAGAGTAGTGACAGCATGCGCATGCATCTGGATCCAGAAACCCAGAATTCCAGACCCCGTACTCCGTATTCGGTACAGAAATGGCGTCGTATTTGCAGTGTAGCCAAGAGGGCCAAGGGAGACGAGGCACGTAATCGTTCCATGGCAAAAGCTTGGTTGATTGGTGCAACCCCGGGCCCAGAAGTCTGATGTGGATGAGCCCGATTGTCTATTTGGACCTGCAACGAACAAGATGCCTGTTGTGCTTATGCTTGTGCTTGTGCTATGCTTGTGCTTGCTCAATCAATGACTCCGAAGGTGTGCCGCAGTGTTGATTGCAGATCAAAAGGTCCAGTTCTCAGAACCAGGCCGACGAGGCAAATAGCAGTCAATGAGAAGAGAGGTGGGAGACCAAGTTGGAGATAAACAAAGAGGCGATGAGCAAAAGCTGAGGCTTAGTGACGGTGGTGACCCTGGAGAAATTGTGGGCGCACCACAACAGCCTGGGGCACATGACCACCGGCCTCTTGATTACTGGATCTGGCTCATCCACGGTTCATCCACCAAGACAATTTCGACCAAGGCGATTGGCCCCGGGCGAGCCAGGCGCGGTGACAGGGGGCCCCTGCGAGCTGGTTTCCCGCCGGGCCCTGCTTGTTTTGCGTATCAGAGAGACAGAGGGGACAGAGGGAGACAGACGGTGTGTACGTACCTCCACCTTACCAGTGACCAGACCTGAGCGTCCGTCCTTGCAGCGGTAGACTTCCCCGTTCCCGCCGTCCCAACGTCTCGGAGGTACCTGCTTGCTCGCCGCGGGAAGGTGTATGCCAGTCGCAAGGTGAAGTAAGGGTACGTCTCTTCCCGGTCCGTGTCTGACTGTCTGTGGCCTGGCCGCCTGGGACGTTGCCTCTACCTTATCCCCCCATATCTCCCTTTAGTCGATTCGACCTTTAAAGCATCCCTCATCTGTCGCCGTCCGACCACATTCTCTTCTAGCCCCCTTCTCTCCTTCTCCGTACTTGTTCTCCTCCCGAAGCTTGTCTTCACTACTTTTGCGTCTCTCACAAACTTCCTTGTGTTGTGTCATCGCCAATTTACAAACATCTCTTTTTTCTTTCCCCAAAGAAAACTGCACTCCAGCCGAGACACGAGTGTCCGGTCAACTATTTCGATGAAGAAAGCCTCCTCTGATCCCCCCAATATAGACCCCATACGCTCTGGCGCAGCAGCATTAGCGCATGGCGTCCCTCGCAGCTCCTCCAACCGATCCGACGGCAATCCGGCAAATATAGTCGCCAACTCAATCGACTTGTCAAGCAAGTCCTCTCTACCCGCAGCTCAGCGCAATAACACGCTCGACACGACGGCGTCCACCACCAACAGCAGCTATGGCGCCGCCAATGGCTTCTCTTCTCACATCCCCAGCTCCGCTGCCAGCAACAGCTTCACCCTCACATACCCGGATGACATCAATGACAAAACAAGTCCCCGTGACCTCGAGGATGTTGCCATATCTTCGAAGACTTCGCGGCAGGGGGCTGTCGTAGACGACGACGGTGTCATGAAGAAGAACAAAACCCCCGAGCAGAAGCAGAAACCTGGCGTATTCACCCGCTTCTACGTCACGTGTAAGATGATCCTGTTCCACAGCTGGGTCAACGTGCTCCTCGTCTTCGTGCCCGTCGGCATTATCACAAAAGCCCTCGGCGTGAGCCCCGGCATCGTTTTCGCAATGAATGCCATCGCCATCATCCCACTCGCTGGCCTGCTCAGCCACGCCACCGAGTCCGTCGCCAGCAAGCTCGGTGACACCATTGGCGCCCTCCTGAACGTGACTTTCGGCAATGCCGTCGAGTTGATTATTTTGTAAGTCATATCCACCTCTGCTGCCATTCCTCCATCCAAACCATCTTACAAAGATGGTTCTGGAGAGGTTTGCGGTGGGTATTCACATGACCCGACGTGTTGCGGCATGGCTTGGCGCCTGTCTTGGCCAAGCCGCTCACTAGATCTTGGCCCTGAATATCTCGAACCATGCAACCCTCTGAGTATCTTGGCACAGCCTTGGCTAATGCTTATTTCTCCACTTTAGCATGTATGTTTTTACCCCTCTGCGGGTGATCAAGACGAGAAAGAGACGAGAAGTCTACGCAAAAAGACACCATCACATCAATCAAGTCCTTAATCATGCAGTCTTTTCTCCCAATCTCGCTTCGCATCCCATGCCCTGGTTGCCGTTTTGATAGTATGATATGATTGCAGTTTTGCTGACATGTCCATCTTCTGTGACTCTTCAGCATCGCGCTTGTCAAGGTGAGAAAAGTCAATGTCTGACTCCAGTGGAACCATTAGCTGATTAGAATCAGAATGAAATTCGCATCGTCCAGGCGTCCCTCCTGGGCTCAATCCTGGCCAACCTGTTGCTCATTCTGGGCATGTGCTTCTTCCTCGGTGGCCTGCGCTTCCGGGAGCAGGTGAGTTCAGATGGCTCTGCACCAGGAGTTGTATGCCGTACTGATCCAGATTTCAGATCTATAACAGCACCGTCACACAGATGAGTGCTTGTCTGCTTAGTTTGAGTGTCATCAGCTTGGTGCTTCCCGTGAGTAGCGCAAACCTGCACGGATGCACCCCGGAAACTAATGCTACTCCAGACGGCCTTCCATGCTTCTTTCCAGAACACTTTCAAGGCTGAAGACCAGACCCTCAAAATCAGCCGTGGTACCAGTGTGGTGAGTATTCTGTCTCTAAACATGTCAGCGATGAATACTGACTATTTCTAGGTCCTTCTGTTGGTATACATCTTGTACCTCCTCTTCCAGCTAAAGTCGCATGCATACATGTATGAGTCTACCCCACAGCACATTGTGGATGCAGAGTCCGCCCCTGGTCCGGCTATTGGTTTCTTCGATTCCTCCAGTTCTGAAAACAGCTCCGACTCCGACTCCGATTCGGATGGCTCTAACAGCTCTGGAGGCACTGTTCGCAAGACGATGAGAAAGGTTATGCGCGCCGGTAGAAGGCGCAAGTCTAGTGTGGTTTCTGTCAACACTGACGGTCTTCCCCGGACTCGTACTTCCTCTGTCGGTACTGCCCACGGTTCTGAAGAATCTTCCAGCCGCCCAGCTATCCCTAGCTTCAATTCCGCCGGTAGCGACGAGGTTATTGAAGAAGACAAGTCCCGCAAGCACCGAAAGCATCGCAGACATCATCACAAGTACCTAAAGAGGTCGAAGAAGAGTTCCCGGAACAACGTCGCCGATGCCGAGGGCCATGAACCTTTGACCAACAACACTCTCCATAGTGGTGAACCCCGCCGTCTGGACTTTGCAAGCCCAGCCGCTAGGCCCTCGGAGCCAACTGATGCTGCTCAAACTGCCAAAACCCGTCCGGCATCTGGCATTCGCGGGCTATCTATTAAGAATCTTGCTCCTGCTGTCTTCACCACGCCAGACGAGCCGCCGTCCACGGGTCCCGCACCCCCTGCCGGCCCTGTTCCCCGAGTCCGATTTGGTATCCGCCGTACAAACTCTTTGCCCGACCGTCTGAACCAGTACGGAAATGTCCGCACCCCAGGAGGGGTGTTTCCTGCTCAGATCCCTGGTGTTGCGACTGTCACCAGTGGTCTCAGCGCCAAGGAGGAGATCGTCGACAAGGACCATCTGTCTCGCACTGCAGCCATCTTTCTCCTGCTCTTCTCCACCGCCCTTGTCGCCGTCTGTGCCGAGTTTCTTGTCGACTCCATTAACGAGGTTGTCAAGACCAGCCCGCTTGGCGAGATCTTTATCGGTCTCATCATCCTTCCCATTGTTGGTAATGCGGCAGAGCACGTCACTGCCGTTACGGTCGCGATGAAGAACAAGATGGACTTGGCCATTGGTGTCGCTGTCGGTAGCTCTATCCAGATTGCCCTCTTCATTACGCCTATTGTCGTCATCATCGGCTGGGCTTTGGACCGCGACATGTCGTTGTACTTCACCCTGTTCGAGACGGTCTGCCTATTCGTCTCGGCTTTCATCGTCAACTTTCTGGTACTCGACGGACGGAGTAATTATCTCGAGGGTGCTTTGTTGTGTGCGACGTACATCATCATCGCCGTGGTTGCCTTCTTCTACCCCAACTCGGACGAGGCGAGCTCCTTTGGCGCCTAAGCTTGGTGGTTTATGGTGGTAGTGAGATGACAGAACACCGCTTCTATTGAAGGGTTGGTCTGATGGGGAGGAGAGGCTGTTGGTGAAGAGCAGCTTACGACGCTTCATGAAATATTTCTTTCTATTTCGCTGTTGTGGCATATTTCGTATGCTGCGCGGCTCTTTTACAAGGGGACGTTTTAGGCTTGGGGTTCTAACTTTCTTGCAAGTTTGTCACAATTTCAGACTTTTTAGTTGGACGGCACATTAGCATTAGGCCTGTTTCACCGTTTCAAAGCGAGAGCAGCCACTGAGTGCCGAATACACATTTATCCTACATTAACCCTGTAAATTTTTACAATGTGACCTCTGCTGCCATGGCCACCTCACCGATACCTAAACCCAAGGGGCGTTTTCGTTTCGCTGCTGTATAACTATCGCTGATAGTGTCTCATTGTATCTATTCACTTTGCTCTTCCTGCAGAGTTTCGGAACTCGCCCTCGCCGGAGTATAGCCATCACCGATTGAGGCTTGTATTTCTCCTCTGGTCTGAGCGAGTGATCAGCACTTTCCTTCAAACACTGCTTGGAAAGGCGGTTAAATGTGCTCGTACCTCTAGACGATTTCTCATCTTGAATATAATGAACACCGCGGCACGATATTCAATCCCGCCACTCCTTTGGAGAATTTCGAGGAAGTCCAACGAAGTTGCGCTTAAGTGGTATTGGAGCTGCCCGTAGTCCTAACGGCACCTCGCAACTACCTCGTCGCATTGCGACCACAGGGCTCCGGCGTTCCTGCAGTGGAGGGCGATCCAGTCGTGAATGTCCTGCGGGGTGGTGTTCGGCGTCGGGGCGAGGGCGTCTAGCGTGCGGTTGAGGTCTCCTTCATTCCATGTGCAAACGAACTCTAGACGGTGAAAGATTGGCCCCTGGCTGCCTTCGTTTGGGTTGGCTGGAGGGGCGATCTGGCCAAGGTCGGATCCGGTGAGGAGGGGGCCGGAGGGTTCTTGGGTTAGAGCGCTCTGATAGAAAGGGGCTGACAAGGGCAGCGGCGACGGTAGTGATGGTTCACTATGGTTCCCGCTTGGTGATGAGTCTAGCGGCAATGCCGGGTCGATGTTCTCGAGCGGGGCGACGGAGTAGGCGAAGTCGGCGGAGGGCTCGAAAGGAGAGTTGAGCAAGTCGAGTCCGTGTTTACTGGAATCGAATGCCGTCGGGGCGGGCTGCTGCCGCCGCGCAGATCTGCTGGACTCCGGTTTGCCGGATTTGTCGCCGGGATCTGGCAATTGCCTGGCTTCGTTATCATTTGGACTCGGGATAGGAGGGAAAGGAGGAAGAGGAGAGCCGGTATTGTTCACGTTCGGTGCGAGGCAGTTGAGGCCGGAGTTGGACATCCATGTTTCATCGAAGCGTGCATCATTTAGATACCCCAAGCCTCCCAAACCCTCCAAGTTGATTATCCCTTGGTTGTTGTTCAGATGGGGAACACTGGCTTCGTGGCCGCTCTACCAGGCTTTGAGGTCCGATGATCCCACAGCGGCGTCGGCGTGGACGCCCTGGTTTGACGAGTCCGGGAGGCTGTAGAAGTCCTGGATGTGAGACTGCTGCTGCTGCTGCTGCTGGTCATCATCAGAGTCGAAGCCCCGACGCCATGCCGGATCGCTCATCTCTTTTCCGAGAGGCTGCGCTGTTTCGACGTGCGTAGCCGGCTTCTCCTTGAGTGACATATGCCGAGAGCAGCGTTTTAACTAAAAGATGTGCTCTTATCTATACCGTCGAAGTGTTTCATAAACCAATTCTATAGACCGTGGCGCGAGAGCAGTTGAGAATCGACTCCATGTTCACGTAGTTTCGGCCAGTCAAAGCAAGAGCAATAATGACTATTCGTTCGGCCTCTTTGAGTTCTTGGAGGGGTGGTTTCGGTTTCCCGTACAAGTATATACAAAAGTGCATAGATAGTCCTCCATTTGTTAGAAAAAGAGCATATTGGAGGAGAAGAGGAGTCCGGAGGAAGAAGTGATGGAGGGTGCTGCCTGGGGAGGGATGATATATGATGGACGTGCGTCATAAGAGTTGGTCAAGGAGCTTTGCTGTGAGTATTAATGGTTGTTTCTGAGAGGTATCGTTGGATGCGTCACTGGAGTGGGAATGAAGCGGGTGTGGTTATAAGGAAGCAACATTATCTCGTGGAGCTGCCTCCCAGGTGCCTTCCTCATCGCGCCTGGCTCCCTTACCTACCCTCGACTGATGACTTGTTTAGTCAGCAACCGAGATCAGGTTCACAGGAACGAGACCTTGTTAATACAATCCTGCTATTCTGCGAAATTTGCGACCCTTTCGGCGGCATGAGACAACCCGATGAAATCCCGCGAGGAACAAACCGCAACGTCATAACCCTCGGATTCGGGGACAATGGTTCGGTGATATGGTTCGGTGACATTGATGGATGGAAGTTTCGGCCCACCGGGTGAGCTTAAAAGCTAGCTGCGCCGACTGCTCCACACCAGTTCCGCCCGATTACGCCGGGCGGTGATCAGGGTACGCCATCTACCTTCGTGGGCGGCCTCCTCATGCCGCCGCCGTGGCTGGCGTCTCCTTTTTTGTTCAGTACATGTGTTCATCAAGGGAAGAGGGGTTAAACCGTTGGTTGCACAAAAAGTGCCTTTCTTCTGTTGTTTCTTGTTCACCTCAGTCAGTGTTACGCATGCGGTAAGGTTGCAAATTACAAAGAAAACGACGACAGGTACATCTCACTGTGGGGGAAGCTGCAGCGCCCTGCAGCAATCGCCGAAGAAAAATGGATACCAGCTGCCTACCTTATTGCGGACAGCTTCCATCCACAATGGTTCTCTCATCACTGTCCTGGGGCCAGTCAGCCTAGACTCATCTGCTACGGATACACAGCCACCTTTCTCTTCTTCATATCACGCCTCATCCACCCCCCAACGCGCATCATCACTGCTTTTCACCTACATCACTCGCGACGCTAAATATTCCCATACCTGCAAAATCTTGCACATTTGTCCCACCCCCATCGCCTGGATCGCAGTGTTTCAGAACCCACTGCTCCGTTCAAGCTCGAGCTCTATTTCGACGTCAAGGCGCGCTCCCCTCCTCCTCGCAACATTTAGCCATCCGACGCATTGTTCCGAGACACAGCGGGCCAAAATCTGACAACAGACGAACTGCATAAATCCTCCCCAGAGAGCCTCAAACCTTCTTTCTTTCCCTTAAGATGTGTTTCGGCAGCAAGGCCGACAAGGATGATACTCCAGCCCCGCGTCCTGCGCAACGGCCTTCTTCACTACAGCAAGACACCAAGATGACCAGCAACAACCAGCAGCCACAAGACGCGCCGCCAGCTGGCCCGCCTCCGGGGCAGAGTTCGGTGCAGACATATGCTCCTCCTGTCGGCCCGCCCCCGAGTCAGTCGTACGCCGCCCCGAGTGGTCCGCCGCCTGGCCGCGCCTATGACTTTGCACCTCCCTCCGGCCCGCCCCCGTCTCATGGAGGATATGCACCACCACCTGGACCTCCCCCCTCAAACCAGCGGAGTGATTACGCTCCCCCTCCGGGTCCTCCGCCGGCCCGGAATGATTACACTGCTCCTCCGCCGGGTCCTCCGCCGTCGGACTCGAAGAAACACGACTGGGAGACGGCGGTCCCCGATACTACCCTGTTTCCACCACCCCCGGCCTTCTTCAGTGGGTTTGACCGCTCTCCTGCGAATAACTCTACTGAGCAGGAGGCTGAAGCAGGCGAGGCGTGGGTGGCCCAGTATCCTCTCGTCCAGCCCATCGACCTTGACGCCAGTGCTCTGGAGGCTTTGCGCACGCATAGGATATGGCTTCTCCAGCCCCAAGGATTCCGTGGCACAATGGTCCAGCCGGTCTCGGGCAGGTGGGAAGTCACAACGCAAAGGAATGCCCCCGACAGTACCATCATCGGCTACCCGCCTCTGTATTCGGTCAAGAACAACTCTCCTCTCGCCACCGGTCATCCCTTCAAGGTCTACTACGAAGTCAAGGTCCGTGGATCAGCGAGGGAAGTAGACCTTGCCCTTGGCTTCACCGCCCTCCCTTATCCCAACTTCCGTCTCCCTGGATGGCATCGCGGCAGCCTTGCTGTTCACGGCGATGACGGACACAAGTACATCAACGACAGATGGGGCGGTAAGACTTTCACAGAACCCTTCCGTCCCGGTGAGACGCTTGGTGTCGGCATGTCCTTCACGGCTCAGGGTGGCAGCATGAGCGTTGACATCTTTTTCACCCGAGACGGTAGACTTGTTGGCAGCTGGAACCTGCACGAGGAGAGTGACGCCGAGCAAGACTTGCCGGTCACGGGACTGGAGGGGTACCATGACTTGAGTTGTGCTATTGGCACCTTCCAGAAAAATGAGTATGATATCATCTTTGACCCGAACTTATGGAAGTATAGGCCTTGAGAGCGGATACGATTGATTTAGATTTAGATAAGTGAGACATTAGGATAGACCAGCGGTCATGTGCTGCAATCAGGACGTCACTCAGTACTTCTCACATTACGATTTAATCTCCAGATGTGTACAGCAACTAAATCTTGGCTTTGACATCTGTTTCTTTCCACCACGGGTACGCAGTCGGAGAATCTTTTTCCATAGTCGCCTCGAAGCGAGGTGCCCGCTTCTGCATAAAACTGTCCATTCCCTCTTTGCTATCCTGACCGCTGAACAGATCGAAAAAGATTTTGCTTTCTAGCAAGTGAGCCTCCTCCGGCGAGCTCGGAGACCGTAAAATCATGTCCCGCATCACCCTCGCAGCCACCGTACTCACATTGGCGGCAACGTCTTCCGCGATAGCCAGCGCCCGCGGCAGAACCTGCTCCGGCTCTACAATCTCGCTGAATAAGTTGCGGAGCAGCGGGCTGTCGGCCGGGTACACGGCCCCCGTGGTGCATAGGTGGAGGGCCGGACCCGCGCCGATGAGGCGGGGCAGGTAGAAGGACGAGCAGGCCTCCATGTTGAAACCCCTACGACCAAAGACGAAGCCAATTTTTGCGTCTTTTGAAACGATGCGGATGGAGGCAGGGAGGGCCATTGTGATGCCCACGCCGACGGCGGAGCCGTTCATGGCGGCGATGATGGGTTTTGAGCAGTTGTGCATGGCGAGGGCGACGAGGCCGCCCGTGTCGCGGTGGGCGTCACGGGTGGAAGGGAGGCGGACGGGCTGGTGGAGGTCCATTCCTGCGCAAAAGGTCTTGTTTTGGGGGTCGGAGCCGGTGAGGACGATGACCTTGACGCGTGGGTCTGTGGAGAGGAGGTCGTAGGCTTTTGCAAGGGAGGAGGCCATTTCGTCTGTGAAGGCGTTGCGGGCGGATGGGCGGTTGAGGGTTAGGAGGATTACGGGGGTCGGGGAGGGTGATGTTGCTGGGTGGTGGGAGAGACTTATTTGGGGGAAGGAGAGGGTGTTGTAGCTTTCTGGGAGGTTGGACATTGTGATGGCTTTCAGAGATGAGTGATCTGGTGGTCAATGTAGCAAGGTCAAGATTCGTGATGATGAATTATGTCTTTTCAATGTAGGTGGTCGATTCAAGATTTTGTGATTGTAGGTAAATGGGACTGATATGAGGTTCGTGTGGACTAGATCTATGGCATCGTTGGGTTCGAGCTTGAGGTTTGGAGATTGGGGGGGGGAAGGCCGCTTCCAACCGGATACCGAGGTCCGGTATGGTAGAGTTATCAACGCTCATGCGGAGTAAGTCCAGCGTGTACCAGGGACTGGCTTGTTTGCGAATTGTTATCAAACCTTGAGTAACTTTTCACTTGACAGGAATGTAGGCCAGTTTTCCGCGACGAAGCCGATGAATAAGGTTGATGACCAACTTTCTAAGAGACACACTCATGAGACCATGTAGTGAGACCTCTTCACCGACACTCACCGAGTGCACTTTTGTAATGACACCGATAAGAGCTCACTCGATAAGGTACCTTAGCAAGGTAGCCGGCGACAGTGCCCCTTTACCGTGCACTCTGACCTTGGCACAGTACGGCTGACTCAAACAACCACTTGCGCAGCAACGAGGCCCTGGGAACCTTCAACCAAAGACGCACTCAACCATATTGCAGACTCCAGAGCATGGTCTATGATTGGGATGCCCAAGAGAAGCTATGTTTTCAGCTGTATATCAACGAGAAAAGGTCCTTAGAGGACATCATGGAGTACCTCAAAATCCACCATGACTTTGCGCCCTGGTGAGTCAAGTTCTCCCATTCTCCTTCAACCTTGTCTTCCCCTGTGATGCCCGTCCACCCACCCGCACTTCGTGGTTTCTCTCGCCGGCCGGACCGTCCGATCCACCCAGCAAAGCATCCCTTTTCCACAACCACACGACCGGGGGGGAGGGGGGGAGTACAAGAATCCGGGGTAAAGGCTGTGCGCGGCTAACCGAAACATAACCTCCCGGCAGCAAGCGAGCCTTCCAGACCCAGTTCCGCAAGTGGGATTTCCCTTCAAAACAGAACCCGGCATACAAGAACGGCCGACTGGTCGCGCGCATCAAGGAACTATGGGAGCGCAACCTGTCCCAGCGGGAGATGCTAGCCGTCTTAAAAGAGGACGGGTTTGACATTAAGAAGCGTGAGCTGATCCGCGTGAGGACGAAGAACCGGTGGCTCCTGAAGGCTGCGAATGGCGAGCGGTCCAAGGAGGAGTCGGAGTCGGATTCGGGTCCCGGCCCGCAGCAACCCGCCGTGATCGCCACCGACAATGGTTTCGAGACTCAGGATGACGGCCGGCGAATGTCGAATGGTGGGGGGGTCATGACCCCTGATACTCTGACGGATCACGAGATGCTCGGGTCACTGCAGAACGAGGGGTTCGGCGAGGCTTGGGACAAGGAGAGTAACAGGAGGAAGAGGCGGCGGCTGAGAGCCTGGGAGGCTGCAGCCCATGATGCTCCCTCCATCGCCCCGCGCTTCCCTTCGGAAACCACGCTCGACGAGGCCAAGGCCATTCTCGGGCTGGCGACCGACGTGTACCGTCATGTGCGGACCACATTTGCCCGGCTCTGCGAGGAGTCTGGCATCGTCAAGAAGACGATTGCGGGACCCGATAGATGGGAAACTGTCAAGGACCGGCTCGTCCGGGAGACGCCGCAGCTTCGGGCCGTCATGTGGGAATCCAGGGACAATAACGAGTCCAAGAAGTTGGCGCTCGACGTCATATGTACGGACATCACGAAGCGGGCGCGGACGCTGGAGAAGCGGATCACGCTCGCCCAGGCGAAGAACGTGCTCGGGATCAACCCCGAGGAGGCCAGGATTCTCCGCGCGGCGTTTGAGAATATTCTCAGAGAGGAGGGGCTCAGTTGCAAGTCCGAGGCCGGGCCGGCGCAGTGGGGCAAGCTCAAGGCGAGATGGGAGGCTGGGTCGGAGCTGGTGCGGCGGATTATTGCGCTTGAGGGAGATGGTGATCCCGCCGCTCATACTGAAAAGGAGCGGGCTTTGGATGTCATCGCGAGGGATGTAATGAAGAGGCTGAGGGACGATATCTCGAGGAAGCATCAGCCGCGGAAACGGGGCGGCGTTACTCAACAGGCGCAGCTGAGTTGCGATCCTGGGCATCAAGAGGGCGTGCAGGGAAACCATGCGCAATCTACACAGCCAGAAATGGTTGATGATTTTGGAGACCAAGATGACTTGGGCGGCGGTCAATACGTTGATGCTAGCCAGGTGCCGCCTCCCATGGGGTTGGTTGCCAGCTCGGGTGGAAGCCAACAACCCCAGATGCTCATGCCCACCGTGTCTATGCAAGTCCAGGCCGCCGCCGCTGCCGATCCGATGGGTCATTCTGCGGCACGGATACTCTCCTCGGCGCTCCTCGGTCAGGCGAACATGGCGGCGCTGGACTCTCATCATATGGGCTCGTCTCTCCTATTAGAAGCCGACGCGCAGGCGGCGTTCGTGGACCAGCATTACGCGCAGCAATTCGCCACTGCCGCCGCGGCGCAGCAACCCGTCTTCAACACTCACGCGCCACCGTCGCCGCTACCCCGGCCGCAGCAGCCGTCGCTGTCCTCCACAAGCGTGGCCGTCTACCTGCGTCTGCACCCGTCCTCCACGTTCGTGACAACTTCCCCTATTTGGATCGCGACGCTGAGCTCGCATTCCGTGCAGGAGCTGCGACACGCGGCGGCGAGCAAGTTCCCGGGGGCGATTTGTCTCCGGCTCGAGGGGGTGCTTAAGGACGGGAAGGGGGCCGAGATGCCGTTGCAGATTGAACAGGACCCGGAGCTTGCTGCGTATCTGGCGCATTTGCGGGGCGCTGCTACGCCGACGTTTAATGTGCAGCTTATTCCGGGGTGGAAGACGAGTTGAGATGCCCAGGACGGGGGAATGACTAGTGGATAGGGAGGTTTCTACTGGGTGCATGTCATTATAGTGAGGTTCACGAGTCCAGACAGGCGGAACAGGTGGGTCGTTGTTGAGCTGTGATGTTGGGCTGTTTCCCCTCCCATAGAGCGCGGCAAGCCGATGCCGGTGTTTGCAATGTGATCAAACCATTGCTGACGAACTGGATGGCACCTGCGTCGGAACTTACTGATTTACTGCCTAATCAATGCTGAATTTTCGTAAGAATATACAGTCAGCCATTGCATGTTCGTTATCTATCGTGCCGTCAATGCAGGCTTCTCCGCCTTGCTAGCACGCCATCCCATTTGCCAGACTATCCTCGGCGTTGGTAAGCGGACGGAAGGGCGACAAGCAAGGACACGGTGAAAAAAGTGGAATTCCACCGGCCGGGCATACCACGGAAGTCCCACAACCACCCCCGCTTCCGGGCCGGTCAATCCTTATCCCCGATAGGCCTGCAGGATGCAACTCTGCTGCAGGGCGCCTGCAAGGATTACATTTCGCCATCCGAGCTCCAGAAGTGCTCAGACGGATGCAGCTCCACCCAGCTATCTTACAAATATTCCTTTTACCAGGAACCTACTTATCGCCGCGCACCTCTCCTCACGAACACTGCACCCCCTCCTCTCAACTGTCTTCTGGAGCTCCGAACTCGGATGGCTTGAAGCTTGCCTCTGCAACCGCTGATCAATTGAAGCTCTCCAGCACGTGTACGACAGAAAGCCGCATCCCCGACCTCCCCTCTACCACCATCACCACCGAGTCGATCAAGCGCAATGGCGCATCTCAGAGCTCGAGCTCCACAGGCAGCTCTGCAAGGTCTGAGGGCTGCGAGTCCGGCCCCGCGCCGGCGATGTGTCGCCCTTGCTGGTACCGCGCGGCATATGTCGAGCGAGCGCAACAGACCCGATAGGCCGGCGACGAACGAGGAGAAGCAGGGCCGGACGTTCCAGGGCCAGGTCGTCGGCAGCATCACCCAGCGTCTGGCGCGCGAGAAGGCGGAGCGGGAGAGGTTCGCCGCCGAGCGGGAGAAGACAGGCAACAGCAGGAATCTGGCGTACACATTTGGTAAGTCCTGATGCTCCGAAGCAATGACGTTGCCGCCGCCGTTGGGGAGGATTGATGCAGTAGCTAATGCGCCTCGTGTGCTGGCAGTGCTACTCACCACGATGGGTGTTTCGTACTACCTGGGCACCCTCGTACCCCCGAAACCCAGCGAAGAGTCGACCCTGCCGCTCGCCAAGACAACTGCGCCGGTTCACAAGCTCAACAAGGAGAACCTCGAGGCCGCCTGGGCCGACTTTGTCAGCATTGTCGGCAAGGAGCACGTTAGCACGACCCCCGGCGACCTCGAGCACCACGCCGACTCGGTGTGGTCGTCGCACTCTGCCAAGCCCGAAGAGCGGCCGTTCTGCGTCGTGTTCCCCAGCACCACTGAGGAGGTGTCCGAGATCATGAAGATCTGCCACCAACGGCGGATCCCTGTCGTCGGCTACAGCGGCGGCACCAGCCTCGAGGGCCACTTCACCCCGACCCGCGGCGGCATCTCCATCGATTTCGGACGTATGAACAAGGTCCTGAAGCTACACCAGGAGGACCTCGACGTTGTCGTGCAGCCTGCCGTCGGGTGGGAATCGCTCAACGACCAGCTGGCGCAGACAGGCCTCTTCTTCCCCCCAGACCCGGGCCCCGGCGCCATGATTGGCGGCATGATTGGTACCGGGTGCAGCGGCACCAACGCCTACCGCTACGGCACCATGCGCGAGTGGGTTTTGAGCTTGACGGTTGTGCTGGCCGACGGCACCGTCATCAAGACGCGGCAGCGCCCGCGCAAGAGCTCCGCCGGCTACGACCTCACCAAGCTCTTTATTGGGTCTGAGGGCACGCTGGGCCTCGTCACGGAGGCCACGCTCAAAGTCACGACGAAGCCGGCGTTCACCTCCGTCGCCGTTTCCGCGTTCCCCACGATCCGCGACGCGGCCAACTGCGTCTCAAAGGTGGTTGCCGCGGGCATCCCCGTGGCGGCGGTGGAGATCCTAGACGACCTGCAAATGCAGTGCATCAATAAGGCCGGCATGACGTCCAAGGCGTGGGCGGAGGCGCCAACGCTGTTTTTCAAGTTTTCTGGCACGGAGACGGGCGTGAAAGAGCAGGTGGCGCTGGTGAAGCAGCTGGCGAGCAAGGCCGGCAGCAAGACGTTCGACTTCGCCAAGAACGAGGAAGAGCAGCAGGAGCTTTGGAGCGCGAGAAAGGAGGCGCTGTGGAGCACGATGGCTGTCAAGCGCGAGGGCGACTACGTGTGGACTGGCGATGTCGCTGTGCCGACGAGCAGGTTGCCCGACATTATTGAGGAGACCAAGGAGGCTATGGCGAAGAGTGGGCTGTTTGGTACCATTGTTGGACATGTTGGGGATGGAAACTTCCACAGTGAGTTTTGTTCACGCGTGGGGACGCGCATATTGTTCCCTGTCATGGAGGGAGTGCTAATTTGTTGCAGCCATTCTACTTTACAATGACCAGGAGCGCAAGAGGGCCGAGCACTTGGTTCACAATATGGTCAAAAGAGCCGTCGAGATGGAGGGTACTGTCACGGTATGTCCTCGTTCAACGTTGGCTAGCGATGAATGCCGGTTTCGCTGACAAAGTTTCTAGGGCGAGCACGGTGTCGGACTCGTCAAGAGAGACTATCTCCCCCACGAGCTGGGCGAGTCTACCGTCGATACCATGAGACAAGTGAGTCCTTTCCCTTCCCCCCAGCTCTCCACGTTTGATGCACATTCGGGAGTCAAGTGCTAACTTTGGATGCCTCTCACAGATCAAGAAGGCCCTCGACCCCCTCTGTCTACTCAACTGCGATAAGATTGTCAGGGTGCAGCCGCCCAAAGCCGGCGAAGTGAGCGAGTGGTGAAGCGGACGAGGTTGTATCAGATAATGTTTCCGATTCCAGGACTTGGTGTAGGACTAAAGAGGCTGGGGGAGCGAGCGAATGAGAAATTCGCTGGCATCAATAACTCCTGTATATATACATCTCCCTGATGCGTCGGTTGACCTAGGTAGCTGGGATCGGCGCACATGAACGAGTATCCTTTCAAAGAATCAAAGAGTCATTGGTCCTACGTAGCCCAGGAGCATGTGGTTGTGGTTGTTTCTCTAACCAGATGATGGTTTCCGCAATCCGTTCGGGCTAGTGACGCAAGGCATATTCTCTCTCTACCAACCTCAGCAAAGAAAAGAAAACAAAGACATTCTTTAAATGATCGTATTCAACATAGTTCGTTGATTGTACATCAGCCAAACTGGTCAAAAATTGAAAAATGAAAGGGACGAGACTCGAACTCGCGCGGGTTGCCCCACCAGGAAACAGATGTTAAGCTGACCTTAACCTGGCGCCATAACCAACTCGGCCACCCTTCCGTGGTTGATGATGGTTCTAGAGCAAAAGGGATATATATTCCTCCCAGTGCATGGCTGGAACTTTTGCAAATCTCCTCCTTCCCATCGATCACCATCGCCGTCACTTCTCTATCTCCTTCTTCTCATGCTCCAGTTCCGGGCCATCACGGGTCGAGCATCTCTTCTTCGTAATCATATGGGGCCTCTTCTTCTCATCTGCGCTTTCTCCAAAGACACATTTGATCCACGATGCCATCCGGTACAAGGGACTCGGTTCGTTTTCCTCCGCCCAAAATAGTAGTTATAGTATCCCTCCATGAGTTGAAAAGAGTAGTCCGCCGACACGTGCTCTCCGTTTCTGGTAAACGGCTGTACCGCGAAAAGATTGCGGAACCTGAATGGGAACGGTGCGTGAGTAAGGTAGGTGGCCGATGAGAGCCCTTCAACGGGAACCGACGATACCAATCCGTCGGGCTCCTCCCGATTTTCGGGTCCCAGAACATCGGGATGCGGTGGTGATCTTTGAATAATCTTGCAGCGACCGAGTGACATGATGCGCAAGCCTGCTTGAAGTTTTCGACTGTAGAATGACGAATCAGCAAGGACTTGTTAAGGTTTGTTGCCGAAGTAACTCCCAGACAGGCGAATGAATCTCGAGAAAAAAAACGCACCTGGACTGTTCAACCTACCTTTCCATCCCCAGCTCGGTCTCTGACCTCCAATTCTTGTCCCGGATGTCTTCCGCAGCTGGCTCAATAGGCTTCTGACCTAGATCCGCGAGTCCGTCTGTCAGAGTTGGGTTGTTGCCCCATTGCAAGCTGCTGACTGTGATGATGCGTCCCCACGGCTACAATTTTGTCCTGGTATCAGGAAAGACCCGGGAAATAGTGAAAGGTTGCAAATGTCAAGAGCGTGGGGTTGCGGCTTGCGTTATTGTCCGGTTCATTTTGTCTTCATACATGTAAACACCCAGCCGATCGGGGCCTTATCGTCCCGGACGGCTCAGTCTACCTGTATTAGGCACATGTCGGAGGCGAACGCATTGCGGACGGTAGCACTAGCGAGTCTTCCCGAGTTCTCGTCTAGGTTCTTGCTGTTCTTGAGATCGGCGATCACCCGGGAGAAGATCAGCTCCGAACATGCAAAGGGCAGAGTGTGAGGGACGAAAGCTTAAATACCGGTCGATGTTGTCCAGTGTGGATATGTTAAGCTTTTGGGTAGTCTCTGAAGAGGAGGGGGATTCCCGTTCTGTAAGCTCGCCTTTCACACGCGATATATGACACTGTGATGGTGGCACGAGATGGTGGCACGAGATGCCTCCAGCCACAGGTCGATGCGGCGGATGCACTCAAGTGCCATCGGCATCTGCCACCTTCCGTCGTTGTGTATTTTTGTCATCGAGCCAACCTACCAGTGTCCGCTGGTTACGCGGCATCTGAGAATGATTATTGTCCCGCAATGTGCCCAAAGCAATGTTCAGCCAGCCTTAATCCGCCACCTTGCAGTGCGCAGGAAGATCTTCTATTTTTAAAGTGCTGGGGCAGAATAAGTAGCTATGTGCCATTCCGAGTCGGGATGCTTCCTGAACGAAGCTACTAGGAAAACATATCGAATCATTAAGTTGTAGAACCCGCATGCCTAAGCTTGTGGTTCCTGGATCGTTTCCGAATGGCAGTGAGCTTGCACGTCAACACACACGAGAAATAGTGCGTGCTATCCCCTTGACCGCCCAGAGGTCAGGAGAACGCATGTAGCCATGTGCTTATTTTATAGATTGACATGTAGCTCAGCTTGTGGAGAACATCATCAAGGCCCAAAGTCACTGGTGAGATTTTGTCTGGCAGGGTTAACTCATCTTCAAACCCTGTGTAAGATATTCGACATCTTAGGATAAGGCACTGGATGTTGATAGCGAGATCTTCTACCATAACAAATCATGGCTAGATTCTTCTGTTACATCGAACCTCGACTGGAAATACCCGTCTCAGCTCAAGTGGAATCCAAAACGGTCTCCTCAACACCACTCCCTCTGTCACTCCCGCCGTCGCTCCCATCCATTCTCCGCCGCCGAAAATGCCGCTTCCGCTTCCTCTTCCCCGTGTCCTCGGCCCTCCACCCCTTCCTGGCCCGAATAGGCTTCAGGAACCCGTCAATGTGTACCGCGCCGAGCATCTCGTCCTCGCTCTCTACATCGTTGCCCACATCCCCCGCTCGCCCCGGATGGATCGTCGCCACGTGTCGCTGCAAGTTAGCCCTCCGCCCGAATCCCTCCAGGGCGCGCTCGCAACCCGCCACGGGGCAGTAGAACAGCCCAACGGACGACGTGCGAGATGCGCTTCGCGCTCTGCCTGCCGTCGTCCCTATGCTCCGTCCGCGCGCCGCGGCGTCAGAGTCGCTTGGCGGAATGCTATCTCGGGCCAGACTGTTCTGTCGAGGTGTGCCGAGACGCCGAGCCTTCATGAGGGTTCTTTCGTCCTCCGATTCTTCCGCGCTGGACGTCGCTGAGGCGGCGCCGCCGTCGCCACAGCGGTTGCCGCTGCCGCCGGGGAGGTACCGCGTCCTCTGAGGCTTCGGTCCCTTGGATGCCGGTCCCTCGAGCAGAGTCTGCATCTCCATCCCCTGGCCAAACAAATCGGCGCAGCGCTGCGCCGCCCTTGCGACGACTTCGGGTTTAAAGCCAGAGAGAGATGCCGCTCCAATGATATCGCTCCAGTCTCGCAGCCCCCAGCTTCCCAGCATCGTCTCCCGGGCTTTTTCCCTGGCCTCAGCCCGCGCCTCCGCCGGCAAGTCACGCTTCTTCCTCGGCGACCTTGACCTCGACGTCTCAATCCCCGATTGATCCGCGTTTTTAACGCCGTCGTCTCCTGCCTCATTATCACCTCCATCCTCTTCTTCATCCGACGAGAACGGGATCCGCTTCTTCTGCTCCCTCGCAACCCGAATTTTCATCTCCTTCTCCGTCTCCCCGGGGAGCGGAAGCTGCGCCTTCTTCGGCCTGCCTCTCCTCTCGAGCGCCCTCGTCCACTCGGGCTCCGGTGTCCTAGGCGCCTTGCTCCGAGGCCGACCTCTCTTCTTGCGCTTAGACGCCGAAGACGCCCGCGACGCCGCGGACGATACGCTAGCAGCGTCCGAGGCGTCGCCCTCCACGTCGGTCGCGGAGGCGGATGAGTCGGTCATGTAGCTCAGGCCCGCGAGGCGGGAGTTGTGAAGAGTCGTGAGGGTGTTGTCGAGGGTGGAGAGGATGTGCCGGACCGAGGGCCGGAGGAGGTCGGCAGAGAGGTCGTCGTTGGCAGAGACGACTGGTTCGTATGTCTTGCGGCGCTTCGCTTTCTCGCCCTCGATCTCGGACTCTGCTCGCGCGCCTTCTCGGGCTGAAGGTCCGTCCTCTCCGTCGCTGCCACCTTCGGAGGCTGCGGACGAGTGCGCTGACATGGAAGACGCCGCTGTTCTCTCGAAGGCAGATTCATCCCGTGTCCTCGCAGCTTCTCGCTTTTGAGCTTTGCGCTGCCGGCGAAGGAACCGCTCTTTCGCTTGGCGCAAAATCGTAGCCGTGATCTCTTCTTCTAATGCTGTGCTGGGGAGCTGCCCCTTCTTGGAACGGGTGGTGAAACCGTCGTCCTCATCGTGGGTGTCTTTTAAAAAATCGTCGCCAGGCACGACTCGCGAATTCATGGGCCACGCGGTCCACGAACTTGGCGGACGCCATCCCCCGCTGTCGACAATCTCTTCCAATGGTCTATCAATATCCTAAAAAAAAAAAGTTAATGACTTGGAAGGCGTCGCGGGGACGGTGGGCTACTGGCAAAACCTACCGCTGTATCAGGCTCTTCGGCCGCGCTTGGGCGCACTGCACGATTTCGCAGCGCGAATGCGTTATACAGGTGCACTGCCAGGTCGCGATTCCGAAGCTGCTCCATGGAGCGGTGAAGGAGTCGCTCTTCTTGCGTGATGGTTTGCCATGTTGCCCTGTTGCCCCTCCAGCGATTGGGTCTGGTCTCATAAAGCTCTTCCGAGTCGACGGAGCGAATCTCATCGGTGTCGAGGTCCCACGATTCTTCGTTTGTCGTCATGACCTGGATATGATACCCAATGTAGCAGCAGTATTTTCGATTCACATATGAGAGAAATAGACACCAGTTGATGGGGCTCAAATGAAAAGTACTAAGAAATGGATGAACAACAACCGTTTTCAAAGTGGGTTGGAGCGAGGTGAAGAGGGAAGGAAAAATGGATCCACCCACATCTCACCGAAACTCACCTTGAGGGTCAAACGGGCAGTCTACCTACCGTGTGTTCAGAGCACTCTGTACGGACTCACTCACAAAGCCGTACTACCAACATTTCACCAGTTTTGGGAAGATTACGATTCATGTGTCCCAGGCATGTATTTCTCTTCCAAACACCACAATTATGGTATAACAAACGCCTACTGCACATTCTAGAAGAAACAAAACACAAACAAGCTTTTTTCTCTTCTTCTTCACCATCTCCTCTATGCCTTGGCCTTCTTGTTGGCCAGCTGCTTCTCCAGCCTTCTCCTCTTGGCACGCAGCTTCTCGTCCTCTGCGCTCTTCTTGTTATTGGTGTACTGCATCTGCTCAAACAGCTTTCTCTTCTTCTTGCTCAACATGCCCTTGGCCCGCTCGATATCCTCCGCCTCCTCGGCCACCTTCTTAGCGTGCGCCTTACGGGCCGCCTCCTTCTTGGTCTTTGGCTTGGCCGCCTTGTGCTTGACGGCGCCACCCGTGAGCTCGGCCTCGAGCTCAAGCTGGCGCTGCGCATCCGCATCGTCGTTCTCGGACCCGGCCTCGTCCTCATCCTCGGAGACTCCGTCAAAGTCGGAGCCCTCGCCATCCTCGCCCTCCTCTTCCTCGTCGGAGCCGGCAACGTCCATGTCGCCAGCGTCCACGTCGTCGGCCATCTCCTCGTCGCTCTCGGCAAGAGCCTCGCCTTCGGGCTCCTGCTCCTCGAGAGACACGGTCGGGTCGTACGCGCCCTGCACTTGCCTGACAAAGGGGCTGAGATGGGGAGGGAGCTGGGCGCCGGGGGCGTATTGATCCGGCTGCTTGAGCTCCTCCTCGTTGACACTGTCCCACACCCATTGGGGTTGGACGTATATCCGGCCGGGGATGCGCTGGTTGGGCGCAAGCTTCTGAGATGTCTGGTTATCCTCGCCATCACCTTCCTCGCTGTTGGCCGCGTAAATCGGAGGACGGTCAACGATCTGGTGGGTAATGGACGGGTCGCGCTCATCGGTGGTGAACGCACCCTCGCCGAGGACGGCATCCCAGCCGATGCGCTTGCAGCCGAACGATCGCAGAAGGAACTCCAGGGGTTGTCTAGGGGTTTCACGGGAGAGGTAGAACGTGCAGTTGGCGAACAGCTTGCCTCTGTCGGAGCTCGAGTGCACAGGTTGGGGCAGGACGTCACCGCCGGGCGCCGCGGGCTCGAACTTGTCAATGGCGTTTGTGGGTTCTTCTGTGGACTCGGTGTGCTCCTCCGGCTTGCTCTCCTCCTTGTCAGCATCCGAAGACTTGAGCTTCTTGATGACCTTGTTAACTGCGGCCTGAGTCTTGGGATCGACCTGGTGCTCGGTCTCGCCGTTGGTGATCTGTTTCTGCTCCTCGGGGGCAGCGAGGTTCTGGCCCTCAATGGTGAAGGCGGCAAGCTCGGCAGACTGGTTGTCCTTGGTCTGGTCGAACTTGGGCGGGTACTTGAGGCCGAGACCGGTGTACAGACGGAAGTTGATGAAGCCCAACAGCGTCATGTAGAACTCGACAAAGGTTCCCATGATGCGGAAGTCGACATCGCCAACAACCCTCTGGTTGAACTTGTAAGGCACCAACCACAAGACATCCTCACCGTTAATGTTCGCCTGGTAGTAAATACCCTTAATCGAAAGGAAGGACTTGGTAACGCTCTGCGACACGATGAGGTAGTGCTGGAACTCGAGGGTCAACCGCTCGCAGCGTGCAATCATCTTGGCGGGAACGGAGGACGTCGAAGGCAGGTTGGCGAAAAGGAAGAGCATGGACAGGCAGTCGTCAAGGTCCCTCACGGCATCGACAAAAGTCGGGTATCGCTCTCTGATGACGTGGTCGAGGGTGTATCTCGGCTTGCCAGTCTCCTCGGGCCTGGCGGCGTTCTTCTCCAAGCGCTTCGCATCGCCAACGTCGCCGCGGCCGAGGGCGCGCGAAATCTTCTTCTCGAGAGCCTTTTGATCGCGGAACTTGAGCAGCAGCGGCTCGTGCAGGAGGTACTGGATGTCCTTGGCGTAGTAGAAGGTCGTCGAGGCGGTCGAGGACTTGGAAACCTTCTTCTTGCTGCGCGGCTCGCGAGGGTAGATTCCCTTCCAGATGCAGAGCTTGCGGAAGTCGGGCAGGCTGATCTGCAGCTTGCGGATAGCCTGGTTTCTTGTGACATAGTTCTTGGCCGCTCCGGCCTCTCCCTTCTTCTTGACTCTTCCCGCCATTTTTGCGAATTGGCGTGGTTGTGTTGTCGAAAAATTGACTTGGAGAGAAGGGTATGTGTTTGGGCGGGTTTAGAAGCTCTCCAGGACTTCTGGCCGTGGCGGGGCACCAGTCTCGACTTTCTCTCTGAACTTTTTTTCCATTGAAATTTTCTGCCAGCGATTGACCGCTCCCTCGCCAGCCGAGACGGGACTAGCGACAGTCTCTGTTGACGCTCATTGGCTACTGCTATCTAATCAGCAAAATGGCTCCAGCTCCAGGGGTTCAACCCACTTAACCCAGTGCGATCACTCTGAAGGGCAGATTGCCATTCGCTGACAAGCTTCCCGCACCCAGCGGACCTGCGCCCCGGTCGAAGCAACCAGGTGTCATCCACCTCGACCCCCGTCCCTACCGCACCTTATTCATCCCGACTCCCGCCCGAACTCTAGTAGACTGCGAAACTTGGAGCTCCCGCGAGCCCGCACTTCGACATCCCGATCCGGACCATGGACTGAACGATGACCGTCGGCACAAGTACACAGGGAGGCAGCAAGACGGGAGTCTACGCCGCCGCAGCCGCGCTGCGGTTGCTGCTCTTTGTTGCGTTCCCCGGCCTGCCTGACCTACTCACCGGCCGCGTCGAGATCTCGACCCCCGTCACGAGCTTCAAGCGATGTAAGCTTCGCATTCCAGAATTCCAATTGAGATGTAGAAGTTAGGCTGACATATTGTCGTTCTTTAGTACAAGAAGGGCTCTTCCTCTACAACCACAATGTCTCCCCCTACGACGGCGGTGTCTATCACCAAGCGCCCCTCTTCCTCCCCCTCTTCTCTCTCCTCCCGGACCTGAAGTCCTTCCCGATCTTCACATACCTTCTCTACATACTTGTCGACACCCTAAGCGCGGATGCTCTCTCCAAGATCGCCGAATCTGGTGAGGCCGGGTCTTCTCACCTCTTCGCCTCTCCCCGCCGCGGCAAGAGGTGGAATGGCCTCATCGTCGCATCACTGTAAGCTTCCGACCCTGCCCCTTGCTTGCATTATCATCCAAGGACATCGGTCTAACAACCTTCCCCACAGCTACCTCTTCAACCCCTTCACCATAGCTACCTGCATAGGCCGCTCTACTTCCGTCTTCTCAACATGCGCCATCCTCCACGCCGTCGCCAAGGCCATCTCCGGCGCTCCCCTCGGTGCAATGGTCGCCCTCTCCTTCGCGACATACTTCTCAATGTACCCTGTCCTCCTCCTCCCGCCGCTGGTACTGCTCGCCTACGATCGCCAGGACCCCTCCCGACGCACCACCTCCTCGACCGCACGCTTCGCCGTCGCAAACGTCTCCGTTGTCGCGGCCGTCCTCGCCGCCCTCTTCCTCATATCATTCCTCTTGACCGGCGGCTCCTGGGAGTTTCTCTCCAGCACATATGGCGCCCAAATCACCCTCAACGACCTGACCCCTAACGTGGGTCTGTGGTGGTACTTCTTCGTCGAGATGTTCGACTCCTTCCGCCCCTTCTTCCTCGCCGTCTTCTGGCTCCATCTCTCCAGCTACGTCGGCCCCCTGACGATCCGCCTCCGCACCCAGCCGCTCGTCGTCGTGACCCTTCTCCTCGGCATCTTTGCCATCTTCAAGCCGTACCCGTCGATAGCAGACACGAGCCTGTTCTTGGCGATGCTCTCGCTGTTCCGCCACGTCTTCCCGCTGATGCGCTACACCTTTGTCGGCGCCGCGACCATCATGTACGCCTCCTTCCTCGGGCCGGCCTTCTACCATCTGTGGATCTATGCCGGTAGTGGAAACGCGAATTTCTTCTACGCTATTACGCTGGTATGGAGTTTGGGCCAGAGCTTGCTCGTCAGCGATCTTACGTTTGCGGTGCTACGCGACGAGTGGGAGGTTGAGAGGCCCGAGATGGTCGGAAAGGAGATCCGGCAAATCTAAGGAGATGGCCATCTGATTGGGGCCCCTTTTCATTGTGTATAAAACTGGGAGAGTGTCAGTATACAATACGCAGGTATTCGAGGTCGGCTTCGGTGGCACAGGCAGCATTCAGCGGCAGCATGGTGTAAGATAAAAGGTGAAATGGAACCTAAAATAATAAAGACAGTGTTGTACATTTTGAGCTGCCACAGATGGCGTGATCTTTTCATGCAGTTTTCCCCCTGACTCCGGAGTTGCGAATGATCCAATGCCCCTTTTTGTCTCGTGACCGATAGTTCGTTCAGTTTGCAGCCGGCTTCCCCCCTTTTCGCACTGCCTCATTTTCATTGGTGCTCAACGGACCGTACTCAATAGTCAACCGTAGTTCAACGTGGTTTCGCAAACTCAATCGACGGCCAGTTCGGACTCGACATACTTGTGTTCCGAACCCCATCCGGCAGCCGAACTCGCCCGCGGCACCGGATCCGCAAGTCCCAGCGAAAAGTTGAGCATCTCACCCAGGTCGCCGAATCTACCCAAGCCCTTCTTCTCCGCCGTCCACGTCTGGGTCCGCAAGCCCCAAGGCGGCAGACTCCGGTACGTCCAGACCCCATACGCGATCGCCGAGCCGGCGACCAAGACGCCGCTCGCCAGAGCAAGCGTTCTCCGGTCCGCGAAGCCGCCGCCGCCGCCCCGCGCCTTCGTCTCCGCCCTCCGCCGCCACTCGTGGAGATACGCCTCGCCGAGGTTGGGCGTCGCCTGCACGACGTTGTCAAGGAAGCGCGCCGCGGTGCGCAGCGATGACGAGGGCGCCGTGGTCCAGGGGAGAGCGTTGCCCGGGTTCGTGAGGCACTCGTCGCGGAGATCCGAGGCCATGGCGCTGAGGTGGGGGAATTTCTTGGCGAGGATCGTCTGTAGCCAGGACTGGGGGAGGTCGACCTGCTGCACGAGGGCGAGGTAGCCGACGAGGAGGCAGTCGAGGGAGGTCGGAATCTCACCGCCGAAGAAGCGCGTCTTCTCGCCCGGCGATTCTTCGCCCCGCGCGCGGAGCGCTTCTAGAGGCGAGAGGGCGTCGACGGTGATGGCATGTAGCCTGATCCCTCGCGCCGTGCCGGCCTTCATCTCCTCCAGTACGGTCTTCCTGTTGGAGACGGGCAGGTGCTTCATGGCGCGGTCCAGCGCACTGCTCTTGGGCACGCCGTCGTCGTCGTCCTCCTCCTCGGCGCCGAGGGAGTCGAGCCCGAGGTGGGCGCACCGCGCCGTGGCCTGGTTCCGGATCATGACGGGGACGGTCCAGCTCAGGGGAAACCCGAGAAGGTGGCTCAGGGCGGGGCGGGTGACAGCAGTCCAGTTCTCATGGGTGCCGTACAAGGCGGCGTCGAGCAACGGCGCAAGGGTGGACTCGATGTAGGCGCCGTAGGCGAGGGCGTCTGCGCGCTGGGACGGGGTGAGGCGCGAGTCCAGGTCCAAGTCCCAGGAGGGGGAGTGCGGCGCGAGGGAGGCGAGGTGGGCCGCGATGGAGGCATAGCCCGTTACCCAGACGCCGTTGGCCTTGAGGGCCGGTAGGCGGTCTAGTGGGGGGACACGTTAACGAAGCTGAAGGGGGGCCATTGTGTGTTTGGACTTTCTTTGTGAAGTTTGGTGACTCTTTGTGAGGTTTCTTTGTGACGAGTCATCATAATGGGACGAGGCCGCGTGGGAATTCTTCCAACGGCGAAACGTCGAACGGTGGTGGGAGGGGTGGGCAACGTAAAAGAGCCGGGGCGCGGCACCGGTGTAAGTGTGAGTAAGTGAACAGGTGTACTTACTTGATGAGTCGGCGGCAGGGTCATTGCTCGGGACCAGACGCCATTGGGAACTTGGGAGGGCTGTGTGCAGGTACGCGATGGCGGCCAAACACTCGGCGTCGATGGAGGGGAGGCCAAATGCAGCGCCCCAGACGTGGAGTTCGAGGACATCCATTGTCGTGTCGTATGTTGTGGGCTTGTGGTGTGAAGACTGAGTGACGAGTACACTTCTCCCGTATGCGGCAGCCAGCGTGTGTTTCCGAGTATTGAATTCACGCTTCTGCCTTTTCCAGTCTCTCCCCCATTCACTCCGGAGACCCTGATCGCCCCAGCCTCTAGCGCAAGAGATGTCGGTGCAAAAAACAGGATGACGAAAAGTCGGGTTACCTCTGGCGTGGCCGATGACTCAATCCGTTTCAACGCACGTTTGAATAAAGAACACCCTGAAGATCCCGTCAGGCAACAATGCCCGTACCCAGAGACAACCGTCTTGATGATGTGCCGTGCGATGTGTCGTCCTGGGGGAAAATTAGGGACCCCTGCATTCCTTTCATCGCTTGAGCGGCGCGAAGATCCGTCCAAGCTTGGCCTGAACGGTCGTTACGACCTCGGCGCGGGATCACGTGGACCATGTGCGCGAGCACCCGGATTCTTACATAATCCAAAGGGAGAAAGGCAGCTGTATACGGATAATGTGGGGTCAGATCTCCCACGTTTAGGTTTGCCACGCTTCGCCCCACACCCCCAAAATGGGGGGTTCCGAATTGGGACAGAATCGACGAACCACCCCCTGACGATCCGGTTCGAGAAACTCCAAAACACGCCGCCGCAAAAGCAAATCACCAAGTGTTCCCGTCAAACGTCCACCGGTGACCCCAGGGCAGAGCAAAGACCGGTGAATTCTTGGCGGTAAACACCTTCTGTACGCTTCTGCGCCCGCATCCGGCGGGTCCGGATCACCGCTGCACAACTCCCCTGAGCCATCACCACGTACCTCAAGGCTCAGGGAGGAAGATACATCCAACGTAGGTTTCTCTCGTTCGACTCCCCCCCTCCCCAATCTTGTGACTACCTCCGAGAAATGACCAAAGCCGACGACGGGCGCAGGTATTTTCGCCACCACTAAGGCAGGTACGCGACAACGCACCCGTTGAACTACTGCAAAAACTGCACCCCAACGATGGGGGCCGCCGCACGCAGGTATACCCGGGCACAAGGTAATCTAAATCGTCTGAATTCCAGACGCACCAGAAAAGGTTGAGTGACATTTTGCCACACGGGAAACAGATTGACAAGATTGACAAGCGTGACGCAACGGCGCCCGAAGAGTGATGGACCAAAACCTGGCCTCCTGTTTCACACAAATTCAAACATTCATCTTTTCTCTACCAGTTCGTCAAGCTGGGGTGGAAGCAGACAAGGATCATTTTCTCTTGCTAGAGAACCCATAAACCCACGACAGCTAAGAGAAGGTGATACGCAGTTTATGGGGTAAAGATGCGCAGCAGCGCAGGTGTCGCTTTTGATGAAAGAAGGGGTCCCGGTCCCGTTGTCTTCTTTACTTGACGTGACATGCCGCACCCCGATTCCCTGTCACCGACTTTCAACTGACAACAGTAGCGAAGGAACTTAAAAGGAAGGGGGGGATTTCTCTCTACGTTGCGAGGGCCTTACCCAGCTATAGTTTAAACCGTCCCGTCCATCGGTGACGAATCGTCGTCGGACCAGTATTAATTGAAATAGTTAGATCGCGGAGTAATATACGAAATCGTAATATACGGCAAGGAAGGGGGTTAATGGAGGGGGTCATATTCTTCGCGACACGCCTCTTATTCTACACTACGTTTCTCTCCCACCATTTCAATTCGAGGTGATCCGTAGAGAATGCCCACATCGAACATATACTATGTACTACCACGTTCACGGCGGCTCCGTTTCCTGCGCTGTCTCTCGCGCCGCCGCCGCCGCTACGTCGGGGAATCGAATCAGTCCCATCCCGACCGACTCCCCGGCGCCATCTCCGCTAGCAATTCATGCTTCAACATTTACGAGATCCTCATTCACCTACACCCCAGGCGTCTCTTCTGGGACCATTTCTCTCTTCTCCCTGGTAAAACGGACGCCAGAAGCTAAAGGGCGGAAGACTTGATTACACCCGTCGTGCTAGCCTTCCCCTTAGTCCCCCGTCTCCTGTGCGACGTAATTAGAGAAGGGAGGCCCTAGAACGACGGCGCCTTGGTCCGTCGAGCCCGTCAAACCGTCAACGACGTCTGTGTTTTTTTTTTTTTTTGCTTTTTCTCCTCGTACCCAGAGTCTTCAGCCCCTTGCTATTTTTTTTTTCCTACCCTCCACTGAGGAATTAGGGGTCCAACATTCCACATCCCATACATTGACCCCCTTTAATTCCTAGTCTTACTTCCCGTCCGTCCACGGACGGCTGAGGCTGAGCCTCATTCTCATTTCAATTCCAATCGTCCTCTTATGCCATCTGAGAAAAGGAGTTCCTCAAGGGCAAAGGGGTGTTCCAAACCGTCCTGGATGGAATCCATACACGCCCCAAAGCCGAATGACAGCAGCTGCTCACCAATGATTAATTGCAAGACAGAAAGCTCTACATACGGACCTCTGGATCGTAATCTCGGCCCCGCCCCTCAAGTGAGTGGCCTCTTCCTCTGCATCTCGTTCTTCAGCTGAGGTACCTTATGGAGCCACCAAGACGCACGTCCACCCAAGGCATTGAAGCGTATACGCATGAAGCAATTACCAAGCGACCGCAACCTCGGTGTCCAGCTCACGGTGGCCTCATATGTTTGCCTACCGTACGTCTCCGTACCGTGCCGCAGTTTCCCTTTAAAGTTTTTGATAAATCCGAACAGTCGCGCATCGCGGGAAATGCCCCCCCGCCCTCAAAGTGAGTTGGCATGGCACGTCCCGAGATTACCCTTCCCTTTCCCCTCCCTCCCCTCCCGTTCTCCGCCGCCTGCATCGCCCACCCTAAGGCATGTGTATGTCCTGCATTCTCACCTAGGCGAGATGAGCAATGGGGAAGGGGAGGGGTGGGATAGGCGGATGGCCGATGGGATGGGGGCTAGAAAGATACCTGGAGGAAGGAAGGGGGAGGGGGCCGAAACCACAAACCACATAACGCATTTCCAATTTGATAAGCCACCGGCCGGTGCATTTGAGGTGATTCACCAGACCTTTTCATCAGCTCAGCTTCAGCCCCAGCCCGTCTCATTCCGCGCACGAAAGGCACCCGTGAGGTATCTTGCATCAATATATCCGTAAGAAATGTGACGCGAAACAAGAAGAAGAGGAAGATAAAGAAGAAGAAAACAATGCCAGACTTTTTTTTTTGAACCGCGCGCCCTAGCCGCACCTCTTTTCCTATACCTCTCCCCTGCTTCTTCACCCCCCGGCTTTCTCCCTTGCCCATCTACCACTCTGCAGCAAAATCCCCCTCCGCAAAAAAACAAAATAACCCATACGTATCCGTACAACCAAAGTATACATCACGTCAGGGAAAGCGTTTAAGAGGAGGGCGCGTAACGCCGAAAAAGATCTCAGATGATCTCGGTCGTTTCGCCCGCGCTTGCTGCCCCTCCCCTTTCGGTCAAGCACTGCACATCCCATCCCCTTCCTCAAATCGGTATCGAACCTTTCTCCCTCCCTCCACCTCGTCGGTGTGTATCACGTAGAGGAACCGCTCTCAGAAACATTGGGGACGGGGGGGTGTGACGATGTTATCCGCAGAGAAGATCCTTATCCACTGGTCAAGGTAAAGATCGTCGTCTCTTTCGCTTGAGAAAGAGCAGACGGAGAAGCTGTCGCTGCCCTGGTGTTGATAGTTGTGGTGGTGGTGGTGGTGGTGGTGGTGTGGAACACTAACACACACACAAAAACCCCCGGTATACCAAAACGACGTGTCGCAATTTTTTCACCTTGTTGTTCTGCAACAGTTGAGTGGTTTTATCTCACCTTGTTGGAAGTCTAACTGTACTGAAGCAAACATTGGGTCGCCAAAGACGGCCGTTGACACCCCGTATTCAGCTAGGTATACTTTTTTGTTATTATTGTTGCTGTTGTTGGTAGCGCAGTGCTGCGCTGCGCTGCAAGCTCTGCTGCAAGGTATTTGAGTTCGGTCTGCTGATCGGGTCGGGTCGGTCATGCATGGCCATGGGTCGGTGAGGTGGTATCGCAGCATCCATTGATGACCGTCTTGTACCTATGTGAAGTAGGCTGAGGTTTAATTACATGGTCGGTCTTGTCACGGTAGCCGCCGCATAGTAGCAGTCGTTCTGTCTGTCGACCGACCCAACTTCACCCCAGCCCCCATCACCAACACCAACGCCAACACCCCCGGCCAGTTTGGAGGGTGCCAGGTGGTCGCCGGGACGGACGGATAGACGGGGGCAGGTGGAGGGGGGCGGGTTGTCGGGTTGGAAAGATCGGCTCACCTTTTTCCAACCCCGCGCTGTTGCGGCTTTTCGTGATGGCGGGCGGGAGAGTAATCTGGGAGGAGGATGTCGTGCGTGAGTGGGATGGTCCCCCCTCCTCCTGCCATGTGCCATGCCGTCTCACAATGGGGAGGGGGCAGGCAGGGAAGGGGACAACACCAATGTGCCTGCCAACGTTTCTGCTATGGTTTGCGCGGTGGTAGCGTCTGTACTGGTAAAATGGTCTCGTCCAGGCGATTTTGACTTTGGAGGTCTTTGGAGTGGGAAGGAACTTGTTCACACAGCTGCCGCTAATCAGGGTCAAGGTGGTGTTGATGAATTACTTGTGGTATTATAACTGTCATCTAGATTTGATCCAGGGCTCAAGATGCTCCCAATTGACCATGGCTTTGTGCGAATGAAACTCCTTCTCTCCAGCTTTTGATATGTCCCAAGTGCTAAATCTGGTCCTAAGTAACGCTCGTACTTTCCGTCGAATCCATCCAGCTCTCTTTAAGAAAGGGAAGGGGGGTATCAGCGACGACAAAGTGGGAAATGAAAAAAAAAAATATAGTAATGAGTAGACTGTATGCGTCTCTCTGACAAATGCTCCCTTCTAATGATACAAGTTGGTTGATGATAATGTGTGGGAAATGCGTGATGAATGATGACGTTGAGGTTTGTTCCTGGTCCCGTAATGATGGTTTGCTCGTTCCGTTGTAGGTCATGGATTAAAGAT